CGAAAAAACAATCCCATTTACTATCGCGCCAAAAAAATTAAGATACCTAGGAATAAACTTAACCAAAGAAGTAAAAGACCTATTTGCAGAAAACTACAGGTCATTGAAAAAAGAAATAGAGGAAGATATAAAAAAGTGGAAGCACATACCCTGTTCTTGGACTGGAAGAATCAACATCATTAAAATGTCCATACTACCCAAAGCAATCTATAGATTCAATGCAATCCCCATCATAATACTAACGACATATTTCACAGAACTAGAACAAATACTTCAAAAGTTCATATGGGACCAAAAAAGACCCCGAATATCCACAGCAATCTTGAAAAAGAAGGACAAAGTAGGTGGGATCACAATACCAGATATCAGGTTATACTACAAAAGCGACTGTAACCAAAACAGCCTGGTACTGGCACAAGAACAGGCATATAGACCAGTGGAACAGAACTGAAAACCCAGAAATGGACCCAAGGCAATACACTCAATTACTATTTGACAAAGGTGGCAAGAGCATACAGTGGAGTAAAGACAGCCTCTTTAATAAATGGTGTTGGGAAAATTGGACAGCTACATGCAAAAAAATGAAACTAGACCATCATCTTACACCATACACAAAAATAAACTCAAAATGGATAAAAGTCTTAAATGTGACCCGTGAATCCATAAAAATTCTAGACGAAAATGTAGGCAACAAAAGTTTGGACATCATACGGAGCAGAATTTTCACTGACACATCACCTAAGGCAACAGGAACAAAGGAAAAAACGAACACATGGGACTACATCAAACTAAAAAGTTTCTGCACAGCAAAAGAAACAATCATCAAAATGGAAAGGCAACCCACTGTATGGGAGAACATCATTGCCAATGATGTATCAGATAAGGGGTTAATTTCCAATATATATAGAGTGCTCATACAACAAAACAAAAGGAAGACAAAGAACCCAATTAAAAAATGGGCAGAGGAGCTGAATAGACACCTCTCCAAACAGGACATACAAATGGCCAAGAGACATATGAAGAAATGCTCAACATCACTAATCATCAGAGAGATGCAAATTAAAACAACAATGAGGTATCACCTCACACCTGTCAGAATGGCTGCCATCAACAACTCATCCAACAACAAGTGTTGGCGAGGGTGTGGAGAAAAGGGGACTCTAATACATTGCTGGTGGGAATGCAGACTGGTGCAGCCACTATGAAAAACAATATGGTGTTACCTCAAAAAATTAAAAATTGAACTTCCATTTGACCCAGTGATCCCACTTCTAGGAATATACCCTAAGAAGCCTGAAACACCAATCAGAAAGAATATATGTACCCCATGTTCATAGCAGCACCATTTACAATAGCTAAGATCTGGAAACAGCCCAAGTGTCCATCAGTAGACGAATGGATGAAAAAGCTGTGGTACATATACACAATGGAGTACTATGCAGCTGTAAGAAAGAAAGATCTCTTATCCTTTGAGAGACATGGAGGGACCTGGAAAGTATTATCCTAAGATAAGCCAAGCAGAAAAGGACAAATACCACATGATCTCACTTATATACGGAATATAATGAACATAACAGTCTGAGGAATACAGCAGACCCAGAAACATGGAAGTAGGGCACAGACTGACATCCCTCAGAAGAGGGGGTGGGGGTGGGTGGGAAGAGATAAACCACAGAACTTATATGCATGTATGCATGATCAATGGACATGGACAACTAAGCCGGGGGTGGGGTGGGGAGGTGGGTGCCAATGGGGTAAAAAAGGTGAAATATCTGTAACAAAAATAAATAAATAAATAATTTTAAAAAAAAATTAGGCAAAGTGAAAAAATTAACAATAACTAACAGAAAACAAACAATTATGACAATATGCTGCAATAAAAGTTATGTAAAAGTGGTTCCTCAAGATATTTTATTGTAGTGTGCTCACCTTTTCACTGAAAGGAAGCACTTTAGGGCTTCTCTTTGGCAGCATCACTACCCTTGCAGTTTCAGGGCACTGCTAAGTAAAACAAAGCTTACTTAACACAAACACTGCGATCCTGGAAGGGTACATAGCTTAGAGCGCTGGACAAAGGGGTGGTTCACATCCCAGGCTGGACGGAGGAGGACAGCATGACATTTCAACATGCTACTCAGAACGGTACACAATTAAAAACCCGAGTTGTCCGTTTCTGCAACTTTCCATTTAATATTTTCAGACCACCCTTGACTGCAGGCAGCTGAAATCATGGGGACTGAAATCATAGATAAGGGGAGACTATTGTATACTATATACTGTTGGGTGCCAGCGAAATTAATCTTCCTTCCTTGTGACATTACTCTAGTTGTATATACCTCTAGCACTTAACATTAGTTTACAAATGTGTGTTCAATGTTCTCCCTCTAAGACCACTAACTTCTTAGGAGTAGAGATTGTCTGACCTCAGGGCCTCAAGCTCTGGTAAGTGCTTTGGCATTTAATACGCGTTCAAAAGATCTGCAATTAAGGCCAAATAAATGCAAAGTAGAAAACGCAGTACATGGATATTTGCCTTCTCCAACCAAAAGAAGGCACAAAAAATAGAAACTTACAAGGCGGAAAAAAGAAATGAAAGATGGGATAAAGGGAGGGCATCCCCTCCCTTCTTTCCCCTGCCTACGAGGGTTTCCCTGGAAAGTTCCAGAAAGAAGTCAAGTGTTACCGGGTGGTATCATCACCCTCTGAGGCACCACACAGGCCAACCAGCAGGCTTTCCCGCCTCAGAGACCGATGGGGGTAGGGCCCCGGGAGAGGTGACGCTTACGTCACATCCGGTTCGCGAAGCGCCTTTGCTGGAAAGGAAAACAAGCGCGGAGGGGCGGGGCCAACAAAGCGCGCGTTCTGAGAGGGGGCGGAGCTGGGTTAAAGACGCTGCGTCACATCCGAAAGCCTTAGAGTCCGTGTGGAAGCGGTGCGGAGCAGTTCGGTTCGCAGCGGCTTGGAAACTAGTGCGTTCTGCAGGCTGCGGCGGAGCCTCCATAAAGAAGGAGCAAGAGGTCGGCGGCTTCTATTGAAGCACATCGAGCCGAGCGGCGGCAGCAGCTGGGAGTCATGAGCGACAGCGGCGAGCAGAACTACGGCGAGCGGGTACGTAGAGGTGCTACGGGGGTGGCTGTGTGGTCCCAGCTTCTTCATCTTTCAGGCCCGACGGCCTCGTTGCAAGAGACGAGCGATTTCGGCTCCGAAGTCTGAGGCCGGGAGGTTAGGAGTCGGATTGAAAAAGCCTTTGTGGATAGTGTTTATTGATGAAGGCCAAAGGCAAGTTATGTGGCCTACCCGAGTCGGCGGTTTTTTCTGTTACAAGAGGGAGATTAAAAATGGCCGCTGCGTCCCCTCGGTGTTGGGGGAGGGGAGCGGTATCTTATTTCGCCGTTGCTCTCCTGCGAAGCCTTCGCCGCAGCCATCTTGGGCTGGCGGGCTGGGCGCGCTGCCAGAGGCACAAAATGGCGGCGGAGCCGCGCGTCCACGCGGGCTCGGCTCGCGCCTCACCAGGGTACCCGGGGGGGCGGGTAGAAAAAGAAAGGGACGTTCTTTGGGATCTTCCACCCGGTGTTTAAGTTAAGAAAGGATCATGTTATAGACCTGGAAGGATAGAATCTAGTGTGTGCTTGGGACTTTCAGGATGGGGAGAACTAACCTAAGTAGACAAAATCCTTGGTCCGTTAGTTTGGGGAGATTGAGCGCGGGCTTTGTGTTAGGCCTAAATGGAATGCTTTTCTTTGAAACCGAATCTCAGTGTAAAGTAGAATAGACCACGAGGTGTCTTAAGATTGTCATCCTATTTGGAGTAGGTGTTTTTTTCCATGGGATTGTATAGGAGAAATTGGCGGGCAACGATTTATGGCGCCGTTATTTCCTTTGTTTCGAGGCATTTAATTCTGTGGAGCATTTGTTCCTTTTTTAAAAATTGTTTTAAAATTTTTTAAGTCCCCACCTTCCTGGTGTGGAGTTCGGTGCGGGTTGATTGATTTGAGGAATAAAACATTTCCAGGTTTGAAACAGCACGATGTAGATAGAGCTTGATTTGCGGGGTGTGGGTTCTAATGAAGATGCCTCAATGCAAGGCTTGCCAGAGTCTTGCATATTGGAGATTAAGGAGAATTTGTTAGAAAGGTGATAAAAAGCACCATAGAACCTGTTTTTTTAACTTGACGGGGTGTTTTTACAGTTTGTTACTTGTTAAATTTTCCCTTTCTGGTAGAGCCACCTTAAAGGTGTCAGTAACTGTCAGTTAAATGTATCCAATTACTTGAGCAAACTCGTATAAGATTTGGGGTGGTTTAAAAATAAACTATTTAGCTCCTGGAGCCAAATCTGTTTGATTTGATTTTAACTAATCAAGCTTCTCTTTTATATAGTCATATGAATATTTCCTTTTTATGTTTTTCTCTTAAATGATTCTAGAGTCACTAACGTGTGTACAATTGTTTTTTAAGTTCTTGCTTTCGTAGGGTAAGAAAGTTTGAATTGGATTTGCAAGTTGTTAAAGCTGTGACTTCTAGTTTCTACTAGTTGAATATACTGTGGAAACCAGTCATTGGTCTTTGGGCTGGAAAGCAAATGATAGTTTCAAGTTATCAGTGATTAAACAAAAACAATTACTGGGTACTTTTGCACTGTTTGGGGACTGTAAAAGGACTGCTTTCTGTCCAGGGGAGCTCTTAGTTGAATTTACCTGAATAAGTTACTGTGATGCTGTGCTTTTGGAGATGAAAAATTTTACACAAGGAAACAGTTGTGGTATTAGATCCTGGTTTGAGACAGCTCAAGAGGTGTCATTAAGTAGAATTTTTTTGAAGTGGACATACTCCTTCTAGTGGAGTATCTACATCTTAGGGTTTTCTAAAATGCTAGTATATAGAATAGGTATTCACTAAATTATTATGGAAGGCCAGAACGCTGTAAAATAACTTTAAGTTACATGCTGGAAATTAGTTTTGTTTTGTTCTTTTTTTCCTTAGGAATCTTGACTTTTCCTGCAAGACTTTTCTAAACTTGAAGTTCTGGGATACTTCCATTTTGTTTGGTTGGTGTTTTGTATGTTGATTGCTTTCCAACTGGTAGTTGGAAACTGAAGTTGTTAGAATAGAACTAAAACAAACATATGTTTAACTCTCAAAGAATGCTTGGCCAAACCATAAAGGTCAGTGGAACTAGTTAAATAAGATGCCATGAAAGGGGCTAGGTAGGTAGAACAGTCAGATCTGACTGGCAAAAAAAACCTTGATTTTGGAAGTGCCTGAAAGCAGTGACAAAGTTGCATTAAGGGCAGTCAGTAATCTTGTGACATGCCTGGAATCTCTCTGGAGCCTGAAAAATATTTATGCCACTGTAGGCTCTCAAACATTCTAACCTGGTCATGTAAGTCACTAATACAAATCTCAGATCAGCTGTAATTTCTCACACCCCCAAAGTAACTCTTAAGAAAATTTCCTCCAATCCTTTAAACATCGGAAGTTGCTCCTCTCCTAAACAGAATGGTTGTGTGTGTGCAGTAAATAATAAATTGTTCTCTTAGAACTGGTTTGGTTTGTCCCCTTGTCTCATTTTAAATGCGTGGGTGGGGGTGCGTTCTTGAATATTTGTGGTTCCTGTCACACTTGCTTTTATGGCAGAATTTCACTTTTACCTGTACCTGGGATTTTTGTGTCATAGTTGATTTAAATTCAAGAACTGTGTCTCCAATTGGAGTTGACTTCCTGACCTGGCCAAACCCATGCGAATGTTGTAAATGTTTTTCTTCTCCAAATTCAAGTGTCTTCCAGAATTTCCAAAATTTGTCTGGCGAACATTTTTTTTTTTTCCCCAAAGGGTCTGAAACCTTTTGCCATTAAAAGGCAATCTTAACAGTTATGTCACAGTTTGGTAGAATATCGGCTATTTTTATAGAAGTAGTGTGTTTGCAATGTAGGTACTTTATTCTTTAGTCTTATTTTCTGTAGACATGAATAGTATCTGGATACCATCCCATCAAACTGCCTTTCAGATTCTGCAGTTTTCCTTTTCTTCTACTTAATCTAGGGTTCTTTTAGTATTCTTTGCTTTTCGGCCCAATTCCAAATTCTAATTTTCATAACTGAAACATCTCAATCTATTTCTTTTTTAGAGAATTGTAGCCATTGCACCAAATCCCTTTAATAAAGGATTGAATTTATGTGGAGTGGGAGGACATAGTTTGCATTGTTTTGTTTCATTGAGTAATTAGGCGTGAGTCTCTTGAAGAAACCAGGTTGTTAACTAAGAATGATTTAATATTGTGAATATTGTCTGAAACTAGAAGGTGGAATTCCAAGTGATTATAAGGTAAGTAATACTGGTTTTGTGTTTTAAAAAAATGTTTTTCGGGGGGAATTCAGGTGGAGAGAGATGTGTTAAATAGAATTCACCTTGTACATCCAATTCCATTTATGGTCAATAAAACCCCCAAACATAAGTGATAAGTATTAATATTTTGTAGTTGATCACATTTTTGCCCAAGAGGACAGAGCTATAATTGTGTGTCTTTTGAGTCTTAGCACTGTGTCACATAATGTTGATCCGTTTTTACACATAAATTGTATTATTTCTCACTACGTATAGTGATGGGATGGTGATTGGTGTTTACAAAATTTAAGTGTTTTTACAAAGGTTAGTTGACGGGAGGGGGTTGTTTCACAATGAATTAGGTATTGTCAGTTTTGTTTTTAGGCTGTAAGCCAGAATAAAGTTCTTCACTAAAGCAAGTTAGAGTCTTCAAGTTCCCAAAAATCTTTGCTTTTGTTTTGGGGGTTATTTTCAGATTGTTGTTTTTATCAGCATACATGGTCTATTACAGCATGAGATGGGGCCCCTCTTTTTGTATTGATTTTTGTATGTAGCTATCAGATTAATAAGGTAGTCTTCTGAAAGTCAAAAGCATACTGTACCTAAACTTGCTTTTACTGGAAAGTACATTCTTAAAACTAAGAATGTAAATTTAGAGTGGACTGTTTTTGCAAGAGATCTCTCAAAAGCATGGGCTTACAACTGATTTAGACATGTCTGATGGTTTTTTCAGAGCATATTCTTGGTCTGAGGATTTTTCTATCTACCCAACCTTCTGGTAGAGTGGCTACAGAAGAAGATTTAAAAGCCCTTATAGTGATATGAGTATCAACCATAATGGTGGCATTGATTTGCTCCCACCCAATTTTTAAAATAGTAATTACCTTGCAATCAGCTTAATGAATTTGCACGTTTTTAATATTACATGAATTCCCAATGTAACCATTAGAATCATTTTAACAGGAAAATGTATAGATGAGGGGGGCAAGTTTCTGCTTATTTCTAAGTAGGCGCTCTTAACCAAATAATTAGCTCATTAGTTTGTCTTCTAGTTTTATAAAGTGGCCACTTTGTAGCTGAGTTGAAATAAACCTTGTGTTTATGTTATTTAGTAGTGTGATTTTGTAATTCAGATACAAAAGAAGGGAAAAGGTTGGGAAGGAGTAATGAAATAACAGCAGGAAGGTGTCCATATTGAAAAGTAGGTGCTATCTAGAGCTTTGGCCTCCATTCCAGTATCTTCTGCATCTAAGTCCTGTATCTGTACATACTCTTTAGGAGCCCTAAGAGGAAACCTGCTTGGGCATTCTGATTCCACGATTACATTTGTGCTGTCAGCAAACAGTTCCCATTACATTTTAGTGATGGATATTAAAAGAAAACCAATTATTGTGACTCCCTTAATTAAAAAAAAAACAAACTATTTAAAAATTTTCCTGGATTAAATAAACAGTAATTGACTTAAAAACTGTATTGAAAAATAAGCTTATTCTCTTAGAAAAGATATCACAGCATTTCCACAATAGCCATGGCTGCCTTTATGCCCAGATAGGTATAAAGACTTTTTTTTTTTTTTTTAACTTTTTTCTCTTTTTTAAAGGAAAGCTTTATTTTTCCCAGAAAGAAAATAAAACTAGGAGAGGAAATTATTGACAGCGGAATGAAAGATCATAAGGTGAAATGCAGGAAAACTAGGATGTTTTATGAGGGCAGTATTTTGTTTAGGGTGTTGAACAGACACTATTATTTATACTTAACTGGTGTCAAATATTTTCAGTGATTTCAGGAGGTGAGCTATAATTTTACCCATGTTGCCACCTTTAAAAGTAGAATTTCTCCCTTGGGCTGCAGAAGTTTTAATATTTGTTAATTGAGGGGGGAAGTTTACAACATTATTTGAAAACACCAATGTTGCTTTCTAGTTTGTTCTGCTTTCCTTCATAGCTACTTGAATATAGTCTTTGGTTGACTTGATTTTAGTTCTAAATTCAGTAGTTAGACCATTTATAATATAAAATCTCACTAGAGCAGCTTTCTAACTGTAGGTTGAACACTCAAGCATAGTCCAAATTTTCAGATTCCCTGACATTGTCTTTCCATAGAGCTCTTTAGATATGTGGTACAAAAGTGTGTGACATTAAATACATTCCTTGACCATATAAGACAAGTCACAATTTGTAAACCTCTTCGCCCCTGAGCCCTGTCATCATTGTACAAATGAATTGTCCGTGCTTTCCTTTCTTGCACTATTGTATTAATGTGTCATTTTTTTGGCTGGAGTTGTGCTTTTGACACTTAACATATTTTCTACTGATGGATAAAATAAGAAGTGTGAAATGTAATTATCGTTCTTAAAATGTTAGATGAACAGTAAATGTTCAGTTGCGCACTTCACATTCAACTTAAGCATGATAAAGCTATTTGGAATAGACGAATGAGATTGATTACCATATATCTTAGAACCAACAGGAAACTATAGAGTTTCAGTTTTTTGAGCTGCATATTCTAGGTGTTTTGTTTTTTTGTTATTTTTTTTTTTAATCCAAAACAAGGGATTTTTTTTTTCTAGTTTCAGTTTTGGCACTGGATTTTATCCTGGAGTTTTAAAATATTCTTCATCCTGTTCTTTTTCTATTAAGGTTAATGTTGAAGAAGGAAAATGCGGAAGTCGTCATTTGACAAGTTTTATAAATGAGTATTTGAAGCTCAGGAATAAGTGAAGCTGAAATTTGAAAAAATTAAAGAAAGAATGCATGCTAATTATCAGACCAGAAGTCCCACTTGTAGAATATTGAGCAATTTGTGTGAAGTGGGGAAGATGAAAGAAGTCAGAATTTGAAACGGAAGAATGAAGAAAAGAAATAAAAATGAAGTTAAGATAAGAAGTAATCTGGAATCAGAAAGCACTACGCTAAGTAATTACTAGTCTGTTTATGTGTCCCTGTATATTTTGCTAAACATGCATGCATTATTTGTTTAATAGAAGAAAATATATACAGGGTAAAGAAGTGCCTTCCAGGGGAAACGTTTAAATTAGGTAATTCTAATTTTAACTTCTTAGTCAAATTATATTGAAATGCGATTTTTAAAAAATAACCCTTTGTAGTCAAATACCAGGCAGGAATGAGCCCACCAGAATGGGTAACAGTTAGCTTCATATTGTTCCCTCTAGATTTTTCGTCTTTCTAACTGCTGCTCCTGGGGCATGAGTGAGTACCTCCAGAGTTGGAACTGGTGGTCTTTGCCACCCCCCTGGACTTTTACAGTGCACTGACCCCTATCCTTTCATACTGAGCAATATACAGGGTGGGGCAAAAGTACGTTTACTGTTAAGAGTTTGTGAAAGTTTATTCTTGAATTGTTATTCCTTGTTTTCCACAGGAATGACAGTGAACCTTCTTTTGCTCCATCCTATGTACAGGATGTTGTCAAGGTTTTCCTAAAGAATGTCACCAGAATGGTGTAGAACCAAACCCTCAAAATCCAAGCGTTGAACAGGATACTTTTGGCATTTGTGAAAACAATTTCTTTACAGATGGCAATAGTGGAAAGCTATGACCACTTAGGTCCTAACTTTAAGGTGCATGTGTGCTAAATTCACAAGGTTGATTCTTAATTCTTTTCTGTTTAATGCTTATTCCAGCTGTGACAAGGGTTCGTACTAAAAATAACAGTGGCTTCCCTTAGAATAAGGTGGGTCACACATGCAAGTGAACAGGATATCTAACTCAGTGGCAATAGTAGCAGGTGCTTCATTCAGAAATCAGCTTTATTTCTTTTTCTCATTTTCTGCTATTAACACTTAACTATTATAATGATGTAGGAGGTATAGATTATAAAGGAGCTGTATTCTGGTTCCCCACTCCCACCACTTATTGGGAGAATAAATCCAAAAGTTCTGTCATTTTCCTTTCTATGTGTTTTGTTTTAGCTGAATAGAAGAGTCAGATGATTGTAATGATACCTTCGGTTGGATGGAACAAGTACACATCAAAGTAATACTCAATGGTAGCCAACCAACAGCTGTCTTCTACTCTATTGGGGAAGCCAAGGTTATCACTTACCCTTTCTGAAATGAAAAACCTAATTAAAAAAAAAACACACACAAACTTTTCCTCTTACCTGAAACCTATATAATTGTATTAACCAATGTCATCCCAATAAATTCAATTACATTTTTTAAAAAAAAAAAACTTTCCTCTGACTGTTGCCGGGTCTACTGCTCATGGAAAAACTGGTTTACGTTACATTTCTAGAGGGATCCATTTTCTGAGGCTGTATGGCCTATTTATTGTCAGGGTATTGACCTTTTTTATAAAAGACTATTTCCAGCATTTGCTTTGCCCCATTGCTGCTTTGTAAAATTTTTTGCTTTGTACAAACTAATAGCATTATTAACTTTGCATTCTGAGTTAATTAGAGATTAGGCAGAGAGTTGAGGTAAAGGTGATGTGAATGGATATTTTTCTGCGATCCCATGGGTTCTTTTATTTATTAGAATACCTGAAAGGTCCTTGGGGCCCAAAAGTAAAATCTTAACTAGCTCTCAAAGGGGAAGAGGGCAGTTTAGGGTTTGATTAAATGGTCTAAGATAGATAACAGGGCGAAAATAAACATTCATGTTATTTGACCATCTTATTCATTCAGGTGTTTTGTTTCCTTTGGCCAGACCTCTTCTCTCTCCCCTCCCCCCATCATTAGGGAGGTAAGATAGGGGACAGGCCTCTTGTCCTAGACAGTAAAATACATGCCCCAAGAGGGCTGATTAATGCTAGGGTGTGGTGGGGGGGCAGGTGCAGCAGAGATAATGAAAAAAGTTCCAGGAAGACGCCTTTGCCAAGAAAAACCAGATAGGATGCATAAAACTTCAGAGGTTGACTAAACTAGTGAGATTTAACTAGCATCATAAATGTGTGTGTGGTGCGTTTTAAGAAATGTAGGTATCCAACTCAAGACCTAAAATCCGCTCCAGATGGAGGACTTGTGTTTTTGAATGCTGTATAGGTTTACAAGAGCCAGTTTTAAATTTTATTTACTGCATTCATTTTTTAAAATAGTGCATGAGAAATCTAGCAATTGGTTATTCCCACTTCTGTCACCTCTTCCAAAAAGTTTTTCTAAGGTAGCACCTTCTCAGAATAGGGAAATGGAGATTACAGTATTTTGTTGGAAGGCTGAGTTTGTTTTTTTCTGATGTATTCCCTGTAGGTTGTATATTAGTATGTGTATGGCTGAGATCCAATCTAGAAGAACTGAATTTCTTGAGCAGTTTTCAGGGTATTTCTGTCTTTATTTTAATTGTGCTCCTTTTAGTTAGTTCATGGTCCATTTCCTTGAGGTACTGATGTCCATAGTAGTGCTTCTTTTGGTAGGGTTTTAATATGTTGACACCGGTAGCTTTGTCAGCTGAAAGTAGACTTAGAATTTTCCTTGTGTGTAGAAGGTTTTTTCATCTGGTTTCACAGATTTACCTGTGGATTAATAATTAAAGTTATATGCTTTTAGACTTCGCTAATTTAGGCCTCATTTCTTCTAGACAGGCTAAAAACTTCTATGCAGGTATTTCCAACCCAGCTAATGGCCAAGTAACTACAAAAGGGTTTAACTTTAAAAATATCTCTGATGAGAAAAATAGGTAGAGGCATTGTTTAGATATTAGCCTAATCAAGTACTAATATAGAAGGGAAAATTTTCATGTTTCTTCCCCTTTTCCTAGTTTAAGAAATGATTGTTCATAAGATTAGTGCATATACCAGTTAGTTTCGGAGGCTGAGTGAAGTTATAATTTCACAGCTACTAAATCTCTGGCTCTTAGATCTGTTAGAATTTCAGGGGGAAATCGCATTTCAGCTTGGAAGAAGGCTGTTCTTTTTAATGAAGCAAGAGGCTTTAAAAAGGGGGATCTTGACTTTATTCTCTCTTCTTTTATATTCAGATCCCAAGGCTGACTGGTTTCAGTTAACTGCAATAATTTTGTTGGTGATCTTTTAACAATTACTGTGAAGTGCCCATATTCTGCTCTCCCTTCCAGAGCAAGTTTTCTTTGGTTTCCATTAAAGGTTATCAGTGTTCCATGGCATACATAATATTTCTAGTAGTTGAATAAACAGGCATATAGTAACTTGTGGGTCTCTATTACTATCTTCTTTTCTAGATTAGCTTTTGCCTGTGGTAGAAACTACACCCTATTTTTGAAAATTATGTTGTCCAAGAGTAGTACCTTTTTCTTTGACTCTTTACAACCATCGACGGAGGGAAGGAGTGGAAAGTTTCGCATTTCATGTCACATCGCGTCACGTTTCTTAATGACTTTGAGATAATATTGGAAAGTTTCTAAAGTTGTTTTGGGCCTAGAGACCAGAACTCATTTTACCAGCTGAGTTAACTCTTTTCTTCCGTGTTCTAATCTTCACATTTTAATGCTTCTTTGTTGTTGCGTGTAAATTTTTTCCTCTGGACGTCACAGAAAGGATCCTCCAAAATTTTCTCCATTGTGCTGTAAATCCAGAACAGAGTCTAAGATGTTTGGGGCTGTAACTTTAAAACAATCCAGTGTCTTAGATTTTTTTCAAGAATGGCCAGAATATTCTAAAGGTCTATCCCACAAGGAGGTCTCTTTATGATAACTTTTATCCAGGAGCTTCAACATTCATTCTTCCTCTATAGTAATGTTGGTTCCTTTTGAGTCTGGCCATTTTGCTCTAACATGGGAGGAAAGGCTCATTGGACTTTGTGCCTTTTAGTTTGCCTAAGATTGGATAATTTGAAATAGAGGATGTGAGTGTGGGTGTTCTCTCCTTTGTATCCAGTTTTCTGTTTCTGTACCTTGGCAGAATGTTTCTCTGGTTCTATTAGTTGTTATGTATGTATGCCTTGTCTGCTGATTAGTTGACCATTGGTGAACTACTAGTTATCCTATTTACCCATTTCGCTGTTGGTTTTGTTTTGAGAGAGGATAGAATCTTTATGTGCCACTTATCTGCTAGCTAGTCCTAGTTTTGATTGGGAAAGCTATGGATATATAGTATATACCTAGACCCCTTTTTTTTGCATATAATTCTTGAATTCCCTTTCTGAGCCTAGATGAGAAGCCCCTAAATTCATGTTCTGGTTTTCATAGGTACTTTAGATAGCTTTTCTAACTTAGTTTCACTTTGCCCTGGCTCATCTCCATTTAACTGAGGAAGCTGTAGCTCTCTGGCACCTTCTCTACTCTTACCTTTGCACAATTCACTGCCTTTCTGCTATAGCTCCATCTGGTTTGTTTGTTTAAGGGTCTTACGGGGCCTCCCACCATGGTTAGATGGAACAGAGTCTTGCCTGTCTAGTGTCCTTCAAGCTGGTCCTTGCTTTCCACTAGGCTTCTACATTTCTCTAGGACTTGAAAAAGGTTGTCCTTGTCTCTTTCCCACTGAATATAAATGCAATTTGAATAGCTGAGGTCTTATTAAAAAGTCAAACGCACTTTTAAAGTTTCATGAATTTCATAGGGTTCTGTTTTTATTGATGGTAACTTGATATAGGTATAAAGGATAGATGTCATAGTTATTAATAAGGTTCTTTCTCACCCTAGTCTTTATGGAGTAACATTCCCTAAACACAATCCTTGGACAATCCCTCAGCTGCTTGGCTTTAACACCCCTTTCTGAAGAATGTGGGGTCAGTTAACTCTTACCCCTGCTCCAAAAAAGGTGGAAGTTCACGTTAATCGACTTATGTCAGTTGGAGCAATGTAACTGTTATACCAGGTATATTCAGTTCCTGCCCTTACCTATGTTTTCTTATCTTGGAAGGGGGATTGCTTTCCCTCACCATTTATCTCACAGCAGCTTATTTGTTTTAAAGTTGCCCAGAAAGTATACAAATTAAACTTTTGACATCTACGTGTAGGAATCCCGTTCTGCTTCCAGAAGTGGAAGTGCTCATGGATCTGGGAAATCTGCAAGGCATACCCCTGCAAGGTCTCGCTCCAAGGAAGATTCCAGGCGCTCCAGATCAAAGTCCAGGTCCAGATCTGAATCTAGGTAAGAAAGACTCTTGGGATTTCCTTCTGTTACTTGTAGCTTTGAAATTGGTGTGAGCTTTGTAAACTAGGAAGATAGAGAGGATTCGATCATTTGTTGGCCTATGTAATACTGTAACTGGAAATGAACTTAATCCTAATTTCTGTGAGACCAAAGACTAGGATTAGTGGTTAAGAGCCTGGGCTTTTGAGTTAGGCTTCAAGAAATCTTACCTCTGTTTTTTCTCGCTTGGGCAGATTACTTAACCTTTTTCCACTTTAGCTTCCTTATCTATAAAGGCAAGTTAGTAATAGTACCAGTTCTTCAGAATTGTTGTGAGGATTAACTATGAGTTTAAGTAAACTGCATATTAGTATGGCAAATATACTGCAGGACACTGGCTTTCGGTAACTGCAATATTTGATAAATAGGTGTAGTCTAGTGTTATATTACATGTATGTATAAAACAAAAATTAAATACCACAAGCACTTTTTTAAATGTTGGTCAGGAGTAGGCCATACATCCTGGTTTTCTCAGGACAGCCCTAGTTTATGCCTGTTGTCAAGCCTTAATTAACAGCACCTCGTCTCTTACAATGTGGCCTCTCTGGTTTGGATGACAACTTATATGATAACTAGTTAGTTAAGAGTAACTGGTTGATTTTAAAACATTGCGGGAGGGAACTACAGTGATGGTAATTTTTATCTTACTGGTGGGCATAATGTGAGAAGCAGAAAAATAGGATGGTATTCTGAGGGGAGAAGTAGACATATATCAAGCTGGTATGAGTACATGTTTTCTGATTTTCAAAAGATAATTAAATGTGTTCATTTTATTATTTTAAGAAATGTTGGAAGAGGTAGTGGTTTTGAAACTGAATTTACAATTGAAAAAAATTATGATTCCACCCAATTGGTATCATGTTAGTATGTGCCTGGCTTGTGTTCAATCTTCTGGAGTTTAACACTAGAACAGAGTTTTGAAAGAATTGAAAGTCATATCTTGTCAGCTATTTAGTCATGACCTCGAAGCCTTTGTTTTGCAGGTCTAGATCCAGAAGAAGTTCTCGAAGGCATTATACAAGGTCACGATCTCGATCTCGCTCCCATAGACGATCTCGCAGCAGGTCTTACAGTAGAGATTATCGAAGACGTCATAGCCACAGTCATTCTCCCATGTCTACTCGCAGACGTCATGTCGGGAATCGGGTAAGATGAAAAATGTTCTGTTTTTGAAACAATGGACTAAAACCATTTTAATACATACAGTCCTATCTCTCTCTTTTTTTAGAGTTTGATTTTATTTGGCAGTGAAACATTAGCATTGAATATACACGAGTTACCTTCTGAAGCTTTTTAGTGTTTTGAGATAGTCTCTCTTTAAAAAGTATCTCCCAGCCCTGGTCAGGTAGCTAAGTTGGTCAGTGTCATCCCGATTCGTCAAGGTGTAGTGGGTTTGATCCCAGGTCTGGACACACAACAATAATCAACCAATGAATGTATAAATAAGTGGAACAAAACTCCCTTTTTTAAAATTGATAAAAGGAATCTCCCATGTAATGATCTGCATTTGGACTGTCATTCACATATCTGTTTCATACTGTTACTCAAGTCTACTGGGGTGGTTTTAATACCTTTTACATAATATTTTCCTGACTTTACTATTTAATTGTAAGCAAGTTTCTTTCAGGTAGTGTGGCTTTTTCTTGTCTGCCATGAGAGGTTCCAAATGAGGTGGCATTTGGTGTGTTTATATTGTGATTTCATTCTAGGATCTAAATGGTTTTGTAGGGTGTGTTTTTGAGAGTGAACTGAAATTTGTAGTAAATGAGTTTGTGAAATAAAAACTTGGGGTAATTCATTATGGCAACTGGAATGTCAGCAAGATGTGGCTAGTTTTTTCTTTTTTATAATAATTGCAAACAAGCTGTTTAGTACCCGTTAATAGTTCAACACACATCTTCTTTGACTTCATTTGTGTGTATATGTGACTACCTTGTATATATAATTCTGAAAATAGAATCAAGCCAAGCGTGTCTTACGTCTTAATTCCGCATTTAATAATCACTATTTCTCTGGCTTATAGAGACAGTGCTATTCTGATTATCTTTATGTGAACTTGTAAACATTTCTTAGAATAAATTCCTAGAAAGTGAATCAGTTGAGCCCTGGCTGGTTTGGCTCAGCAGTTAGAGCATTGGCCCGCGGTCCAGAGAGAGCCAGGTTCAGTTCCCGGTAAGGGCATGTACCTCGGTTGCAGTTTGTCCCCAGCTCTTTGGGTCGCGTGGGTAGCAGCCACTCAATGTGTCCCTTTCACGTCGATGTTTCTCTCTCTTCCTCTTGCTCTATCTAAATAAATTTAAAAAAAAAAAAAAAATGTCCTCTGGTGAGGATAAAAAAGAAAGTGAATCACTTGCCTTCAAATCTTCCCCAAAAAGTTAGTTTGCTTTTCAGTAGATGTGCCCCTATTTCCTTCTACTTAATTCTAAGATTGAAATTACTCCTGTTGTAATCATTTCTGCTCATTCTTAAACTTGTTTTCATTGGAACACTTGCTGTAACACATTAATTTTTAAAGTACTTATGTAGTCTGTTTATCATCTACTTTTATTGGTAATGAAACTTTGGCTAATTTGTATATGGTTCGCTTTTTATTTGATTTACGACTTAAGTTTTAAAAGTTAAAAATCCATTTTTCTATTTCTAGGCAAATCCTGATCCCAACTGTTGTCTTGGAGTATTTGGATTGAGCTTGTACACTACAGAAAGAGATCTAAGAGAAGTATTCTCTAAATATGGTCCTATTGCTGATGTGTCTATTGTATATGACCAGCAGTCTAGACGTTCAAGAGGATTTGCCTTTGTATATTTTGAAAATGTAGATGATGCCAAGGAAGTAAGTAAAAGCATATCTGTACTTTGTAAAAAAGCAATGCTGTTGTGAACTCCCAAGTACTAAATGACCGAGTACTTGAGTTAAGGACATGTTGACATAGTACTTCATATGACTGTTTACAGATGTGATATATATATGTGTCTAGATACGGGTATCTAAAATACAGGAATTTAATACCTTTTAGAATATTTAATCAGTGTTTACACGGAACCGTTTTGTAGAGTGAAGGGCATTTAAAATGATAATTATGGCTCAGGCAAAGTGATTTCTTATTTAGATGTTAATTGATTTGAGACAGAATGTAGGAAGAAAAAATTAGTATGTAGCCTAAAAAGTTTTAAAGATGAATGTGGACCACATTTTAGGAATTGGGGCTTTATTGCATATGGATAATAGCTGAAATCGTCTCCAAGGGATGTACGAGGAGGAGAAAAGCTTGGGAAACAATGATAAGTCATCTGGGGTCAATGTTGAGATTGGGGGATTCAGCTCTAGATAAATTATATAGCTATTTATTAAAACTACTCATTTTTGAAAGCTTTAAGAGTAACCTGAACTACTAAAGGAAGAATCAAAAGCTAAATGCAGGTACTTAGGATGGGTGACTAAAATTTAAGATATTTGAAGGGCTGCTTTAAGGAGTCATTCATTTTCGTTTTAGTAATAATGGAAGCCCAAAGATATAAATAGTATTTTCCCAGGATTACTAATATTATAGGCCTGCTTTCCCTAATTATTTGCTACAGGGCCACAGTTTGCTTTCTGAAAAATAGCATATTTTATATCTCAATCAGTAGTGCCAGTAACTATCTTTCGAGGACTTAACCTTACAAACCGGGAAATACCATGATTGGAATTAGAAATTAAAATCCACTGATTTGGAGGAGGGTGTTCCTTAAATAGTGAATAACTCTTTGGAATAGGATTTTTTTGTTGTTTTGAAGTACATACCTTTTCTCAGTTGCTGATGTTTTAGGTGAAGGAACTATGTATAGCTGTCTTCATATCAGCTTTTTCTATCCATAGGTGGAATCCATCGACTTTTCTGTTAAACATTAGGATATCAGTCACAACTTTTCAGCCCTGCTGTTGTAATGCAAAAGCAGCTATAGATGATATGTAAATTAATGACTAGGGCTTCATCACAATAAAACATTTGTGGCCACTGAAATTTGAATTTTATGTAATTTTCATTTATCGTGAAATCTTATTCCCAGACATTTCAAATCTGTCTCAAGGGTCAGGATTTGCTAAATGTGCACTGCTTCAGAATAAATAATTAACTTTAATTATTTCATGACTTAATTGGCCTTTGTAGCTTTTTTGATAAACATATCTTAGTTTTATGGCTAACTTTAAACAGTTGAATAGGGGAAACAACCTAAAGTTGTAGGTCGAAATGTTCTGCCAACATTAAAATAATTTGTTGCATCTAACTGAAACATACTGTTGGACCTTATTTATAGCTGTTGAATAGTTTGTGATTTTGTTCAGGGTACATATAACAACTTAATGTATTTTTTTAAGGCGAAGGAGCGTGCCAATGGGATGGAGCTTGATGGACGTAGAATCAGAGTTGATTTCTCTATAACAAAAAGACCACATACCCCAACACCCGGAATTTACATGGGGAGACCTACCTAGTAAGTTTATTTTCAAGGTAGAAATTTTATTGACAATTTGGTTCATTCACTTCTAAAAACACAAGTACTGCAGGGAAATCTTTGGCATTTCATCTAATTTTGCCACAATGTAAATCATTTTTCCTGTTTTTCTTAACTGGCTAAAACTATATTTGATAAAATGTATTCAGTGGAAACATTCTGTTTGTGCCACAAATTCTACAGTGACAGCCTAACACAAGATCCCATCCCACTTAATAATAAATGCCATATATTTGGCTTTGCTGGATAATCTAAATGTTTTTTATTAGACCATTTTTCCCAGAATGGCAACTTAACTGTTATAGTTAAAATAAGTTTGTTTCCGCCCGGGCTGGTTTCGCTCAGTGGTTAGAGCGTTGGCCTGCGGTCTGGAGAGACCCGGGTTTGGTTCCCGCTAAGGGCACGTACCTCGGTTGCAGTTTGTCCCCGGCCCTGGTTGGGTCGTGTGGGTGGCGACCACTTGATGTGTTCCTTTCACATAGATGTCTCTCTCTCTCTCTCTCTCTCTCTCTCTCTCTCTCTCTCTCTCTCTCTCTCTCTCTCCCCCCCCCTCTCCCTCCCTCCCTCCCCCTCCCACAAAAAATGGAAAAATGTCCTCAGGTGAGGATAAAAAAATAAACAAAATAAGTTTGTTTCCTTAACAGAGTGGAAAACATAGGCTTTGGTTTTTACACTGACTTCCTGCTGATAGATAATTCTTATTATCATCATTCTTCCCAGTGTGTTTATTACTGGCAGAAAGCTCTAAATTGAATTCATTTTAAAACTTAAGTATAGTGATCTTCTATAAGGTAGAGAATTGTGTAGTTGCCATGTACTAATAGGCTGAACATTCCCACTGGAAACCACATATTCTCCATATGATTTTATTTCCCTCTAGGGAAAATGTGGGATTGGCTGGCAAATTGAAGTTGAAAGCAAGGTAGTAGAATAATGTGTGCCTCCTTAACCAAAAGATTTAAAAACATAGTTATGTACACTGTTACAAGGGAAGTGAAAAGGTGCATTGTTTATCCACTATCGGTGAGAATTCAAATGGCAAAAGTACTCATTTCTCCATTACTTTGGCAGATCTATGACTGTTTTGCCCAGGAGGATACAAAAGGTATACTTGAAGCAATTTCCCAGTCATGTTTATAGAGCTTGGCTGTGTAGGTTGTATTATCCTTAAGATTTAAATAAGATGACATTCCTCTGCTGCTGTTAACAGATAGTCTAAACAGTTTTAAACAGCAAAAGCCATGTGTAGAAAGACAGGGAAGGCCACTTGATATTTTATGAAGTTACATTATTATTATTCACAGTGGTAGCTCTCGCCGTCGTGATTACTATGACAGAGGATACGATCGAGGCTATGATGATCGGGACTACTATAGTAGATCGTACAGGTAAGTTAAACATGATAAAATACGAGTTTTAAGTTGCCAAAAACTTAGAAGTGTCAACTCTTCTGAATCTCAGTTGAAAATTTTTTGTTTCTCAAATTGTAAGAGAAAGGTTATTAAGATAGTAGAAGGGCCCTTAGAGTTTAGTAGAAAGATGGGCAGTGGCAACGTGCATGGGGAGAAGAGGAGAAATAGCCAGGCTTGTGCAGGCTCCCTAGGGGGGAGGGTGGGTGCCTCAGTTGCAACATAATTTAAAGCAGTACTATACTTGTAGTCTTTAATAAACGCATTCCTTTTAATACCAAGATATCTAGCCCTAGAGTTTAAACCAGATTTTTAGGTTTTGTGTCTGGAAACAATTATAGGCCATACTTCAGTTCCCCCCTCCCTTTTTTATTTCTAAAGCAAAATAAGCAGTACTTCAAAAGTTAACGCTTTATCGAGCAGTTTTTTTGTTGTACCTAATGTATCATGCCCTAAAAGGCAGGTAACACTGATTCTTGGAAGAGCCCATAAAAGTAATTATTTAACAACAATAATTTAGTATTAGCAATGGTAAGCGTTTGTTCGTAACCAAACTTAAGAAATTTTTAGGGGCTTCGTAGGTAAATGTTCATCATACTTAAAATACAAAAAGATCTGTTTGAGAATACTTACAAAAGGAAAAGTGAAGTATAAGTTTCCTTTATTTTAGCAGCAGCAGGTAATTTAGACCCTGTCTTGTCAAAATGTAAATTATGTAATGTGTATTGACAACAGTAGTGAGTGGTCCATGATACCTTATTTTGATGTGATGTTGTGGTGTGGATGTCTTTGCACACTCTTTGGAAACATTTAAAAATTGACAATGACTGGTATATTGCTTTCTATAGAAGTGGGTGGGTGCTTAGGATGCTGCTGACATTGCCTAGCATTTTATTCAGAATATTTTTGCATTAAATGGTACTTGGGAGGTTGTTTTCTGGTAGATCTGATTTGATTTTAAATAACTTGAGCATTTACTTTGTTCTAATGATACTTGTTTTAGCCATCAGAGAGAGCCCTGTGCCAGTTTGTTTTAAAAGGATGGGGAGGTGATAAAAGATGGCTCTTTATCATTTTACTTACAAAAAACTAGCTGTTGTTTCTCATGTTTTTATTTTACTGCATGAATTGTCTTTAAAAAACTCAAAAATGCATGCATTTCTGCCTTACAGAGGAGGTGGTGGAGGAGGAGGAGGATGGAGAGCTGCTCAAGACAGGGATCAGATTTACAGGTATGCCAGAACAGGGTTTAAAATCTGTACAATAATAGAAATGGCTGACAGGAAGAAACTCTTATGGTAGTTAAATTATAAGTGACATCACACTAGGGTTGTATTGTGTCAAGTTCATAATATATTGTAATTGACTTCAAGTGATGTGTCCATGGCTTTGTGTGTTTGCAGAAATTCATTGGGCTTTTACTCAGTTGGTACCATTTTGTATTGAATGATGGTATAAATTAAGGTCATTGATAAGAACCCATAATATTTTTAGTCTATTCCTGATAGCTATCCTCTTGTACTACATTTTCTTTGTTATTTTATAAGCATCTCAGAATAAATGAGTGACCACTTAAGTAATTCTTACTTGTACTAGATGAAATCACTTTGATGTACTAGTGATACTTTGTTTTGGGTGTGTAGTTCATGAGGGTGTGGGTGGAATAAGTGGGAAAGACCTTTTCTTCTTGATAATTGTTTTTTTTTTTATCCTCACCCGAGGACGTTTTTTGTTCAGATAGAGTGTTGGGGGGAGAGAAACATTAATGGGAAAGGGACACATCCAGTGGCTGCCTCCCACATGACCCAACCAGGGCTGGGGACAAACTGCAACTGAGGTACATGCCCTTAGCAGGAACCTAACCCATGTCTCTCTGGACCGCAGGCCAACACTCTAACCTCTGAGCCAAACTGGCCAGGGCTCTTTAATATTATACATAATAGAATTTAAAGTGGTTTAGCAGATCAGTGGATAAAACATAGCAAGGAGTGTTCCACTTCTGATAGTTTTAAATGATCAGACCTTGAAGTCCTATGACTAATGCAAAATTTTTGAAAGTCAATGGTGGCCTCCTAGTTTTAGAAGCTGATAAAGGGATTGTGCATAATTTTTATGTCATTTCATCTAATTGTGATCTGTGGAGCCTTAGATGGTCTTGACATTTGTTTACAGAAGGCGGTCACCTTCTCCTTACTATAGTCGTGGAGGATATAGGTCACGTTCCAGATCTCGATCATACTCACCTCGTAAGTTTCTGTGTGGTGTTTTTTCTTTTTTTTTGTCTTGATATTCTTTCGTTTATATATTATAAATAATAGTATGGCTTCCCTTAACTTCCCAAACCACAGCAGAGTATTTCTTTTACACAGAAAGGGTTGCTTCAGGTTGTTTTATCTTCATTATAGATATATTCCAAACATTATGTATAGAATTCCAGAAAGTGAAAACAATCCTTGGAATCTTTTTTCCTAGTAAAAATAGTAAATACATACATATGTGTGTATATATGTGTATATATATATATGGAATCTTTTTTCCTAGTAAAATAGTAAAAATATATATATATATATATATATGTATGTGTGTGTGTGTACACACACACACACACACACACACACTGTCATTATTTGTAGCTTTTCTTTTTAAAGCGTGCTTGTGATTTTTGCACAGCTTGGGAACATCTCAGTGACTTAAAACCTTAGCTCTGGTAACTTCCCAATTACTTCTATTGTTTCACATGAATGCTTTCATTGCTAGTGTGACTCTTGTGTGTGAAAGTCTTTATATTCACAGAAGAGAATCTGGTACATAGGAGTGTCCAAATGGCAGAACAATCTAAAATTCTCACCATTAATGTATACTTGATAATCAGTTCCGTACTGATGCCTTTTTTTTTTCCTCCCCATCCCAGGTCGCTACTAAAGCATGAAGTGGAAGACTTTCTGAAACCTGCCCTAGAGTTTGGATATTGTTTGTGGACAATATTTTTTATTGTCTCCTGTTTAAAAAGTGAACAGTGCCTAGTGAAGTTAGGTGACTTTTACACCTTTTATGATGACTACTTTTGGTGGAGTTGAAATGCTGTTCTCATTCTGCATTTGTGTAGTTCGGTGCTTTGTTCAAAGTTAAGTGTTTTCAGAAAAGTATGTTTTGCATGTATTTTTTTACAGTCTAAATTTTGACTGCTGAGAAGTTTTTATTGTACAAAACTTCATTTAAAAGGTTTTTCTACTGAATCCAGGGTATTCTGAAGATCGAAGCCTGTGTGTAAAATGCTACCAAATGGCAAAAAGCAACAATAAAGTTTGATTTTTACTTTTCTTTCTAACATCAGTGCTTAGCAGAACTGTTCAGATTAGGTTGTCAGCAGTAAATTTAAAGACAAAAAAAGGCCATTTTCCTTCAGTCCATGAAACATACCATACTTAATATATACTTGCAGCTAAGTGTTAAAAAATTATGCTCTGTAACTCAGTACTGCTAGTATTAGAACTAACGATCTTTCAATACAGCAAATGCTTAATGCTTATATTAATGTGGATTTGTCAGCCTTTATGTAATCTGTATTATACATAGGGAGTAAGGAAAGAGTTACACAATGTATGGCTTAAAAGGCTATTTCTTAAAGCTCTTGTAAGGGGATAATGGTATTTCAACTGGTTATCAGCAAGTGACAATACATTCCACCACAAATGTACTCTCGTTCTAGTTTTTTAGACTGTATGACAAAAGTGGGTGCTTCAGAGTTTGGGGAAAGAGAAGGGAACACTGCTGTGTTGTGGATGAACTGAAGACTGCCTGTTCATTTTTTAAATATTATTTTCAGGTCCTTTGCTTACCAGAGGAGGCCCAATTTCACTCAAATGTTTTGAGAATTGTGTTAAATAAATGCAAATGAAAAGTAAAAGGCTGGTACAACTTAAGTTTACAAAGAAGATTTTATTTTAACCTTGTTACTTACAATTAGTTCATTTATAGTTTTTAGTTCCTCATGCAGTATCCCCTGGGCTGAGGTGTTTTTTGGGTGCTGGGGTGTTTTTGTTTTTTTTAACAAGCATAAATTTTATATTCCTGGAAAATATGTTACAGGTTGAGTGACTAGATATTGAAGTGTTCTCCACTTGGGAGTGGCATTGTATTAAATAACACTGGTCTGCTCCCTTCCCCTGAGCATGCCTGAAATGCATGTTCTCAGTATTGTTTCTTCTGAATTTCAGTTAACTTGCATGGCCATTTCTTGGGAAATTGCTATAGGTACTTAATTTTGTTGGCCTGCTGACCTTTATATAGTATAGACCTATCAGATATTGGGGGTTTGGTTCCAGACCATCACAGTAAAGTGAGTTACATGAATTTTATTTCTCGGTGCATAAATACGTCATGTTTATAGTATACTGTAGTATAAAGTGCAGTTGCATTGTCTTTAAAAACAGTACAAACTTGAGTGCTTTATTGCTTTAATTTTTTTTTTTTTTTTTTTATCCTCACCCAAGGATATTTTTCCATTTTTTGTACAGATAGAGTGGGAGGGAGAGAGAGGAAGGGAGAGAGAGAGAGAAACATCGACGTGAAGGGACACATCGAGTGGCTGCCACCCACAAGACCAACCAGGGCCGGGGACAAACTGCAACCAAAGTACGTGCCCTTAGCGGGAACCGAACCCGGGTCTCTCCGGACCGCAGGCCGACGCTCTAACCGCTGAGCCAAACCGGCCAGGGCTGCTTTATTGCTTTAAAACAAACAAGGCTAACCACCTGAACCTTCAAGTCTTATCTTTTTAAGCTGGTATCAGGTCTTGCCTTCATTTTGGTGAAAACTAGGTGTCTGCAAAACGCAATGAAATGGCAGGTATGCCTGTACTTATGCATTTAGTATGTCCAAGGTACCTTACATATATTAATTTGGTCTGTAGTAATCATAGAATGTATTTACCTTAGGTCGAACATTTATTAAAGGTGCATTTTCTCAGGATCAGAACCTAGGCAGTTTCAGTCCACAGTTAGTTTGTACTCACAGTTATGATACCATTCTTCTCTTATCTGGGTAACTGGATGAATGAAAAGATTCTTGATTGAGCATAGACAATATTTGCAGGCCTTAATTTGTCAAACTTCACTGGGCAGGGAGGGTATCTCAAATGTATGCCTTTTGTACATTTACACAGAATCTCCACCCTTGCACATTTGTATTTACAGTAAGCATCTGGAGCTAAGTGACTCCTGCTAAAAAAAAAATTTAAAGATTTTTTTTATTGATTTTTAGAAATAGATGGAGAGCGAAAAATAAATGCAAGAATGAATCATCTATTGGCTGCCTTCACACACACACCCCACCAGGGACCCCTCTTGGGCATGTGTTCTGATGGGGGATCGAACCAGCAATCTTGCAGTGCACGGAGTGATACCCATCTGAGCCACACCAGCCACGGTGCTGCTAGATTTTTAAAATTTAGTCTTTGTCAGTTTGGGATTAAGAATTTGCGAGAAGCCTAGTTTTGTAGTGATGAGGGCATATGTGAAGGAACATAGTACTGCTTAATAGGTGTCATGCTAAAGGAAAGAGTGTAGGCTAGCATCAAGGCAATGGGGGTGGGAACAGTGGGCATCTGGCACAGGTCTCTTGAAATGAGCTGACCTTGCCAGAGATTGTTGCGTTAAGATTTCCCTGCCCTCTAATTCGCCTGGGGTGTACACACACTTTTGGAAAAGCAAATGGGCCTAATTGATGCATTTCAGAAGGTGGTGACTTGAAAGTAATGCATGTAAGTTACCCATTATCTTGTTGATGAAAAGTTTTATTTTTTAAATCTAGTGTCTAACTTTTAGATCTTCAATTTTGACAAAAAACGACACCAGGAGAGAGGTACAGGGTAGAATTTACCGGGTTTATACATGCTGTATGTATATAGAGTGATGAGACTCTGAGATTCTTTTCCTATTCTGGGATAGGAAAGCAGGTCAGTAGTCTGTTCATGTGCTACAGTGGTGGTCATCTGGCTTCATGGAAGCAGCTTTGTGGCCCCTTGGCTTAATTGCTGCCATAGACGAATTTAAGTAGACAAAATGTTAGGATCATGGAAGAGGAGAATGGCATTAGGTAATTCAGGTATAGGGTAAATTAGTTTGGGCATGTTTAACTGAAGGCAAAGGAACCCAGGATTTGTATATGCCAATACTATCAAAGTATTGCTTAATAGCTGCAGGGCTAAGATGACTGAAACCTAATGCATTTGGTTGATTTGGGGGGATTACTGAATTAAAATAGTTAAAATCTGTCATCCTGTGGTCTCCTGAAAGCACATTATTCAGGAAATAAGTAGCGTCTCAACGGCTGACGTATTTTTTAGAGGCCTTTGAGAAATGCCCAAGCCCTCTGAAATGTTCGAAAGTTACTTCCCTTGCATGGAGGAAACTGCCTCAACTTCAAATTATTCTCAACCCTCATTCCCATTAATCAGTAAATTTCACAAGGCTCAAGGGGGAATTAGAGGAAAATATTTACTCGGAAAAAAAGATTTTATTTATGTCATAAAAGTTGATAAATTGCATAGGAGTGGGTTTTTAGGATGGATTGGGCTGGATTTATTGATATGGGTGCACACCAGCAGTTTTATTTGGCCAGTATACTAAGGTCTGTCTTGATTATAACTAGAAAAGTAAATCTCATGAACAATAGGCATGGCACAGTGAGGCGTTATGGACAACCCTTTTTAAAAAGGGACAGGAATCTCAAACCACCTTTGCATGTGGTGAGCCTTGCTAGTTTTACCAAGGCATTCTACAATCTATTCATGTGACTTGGAGAAAAATACTCAAGCTCATCAGAAATAGTGGATACTGTTGCAATTAAACTAGTGCACATGAACCAAGAAGACCATTGTGACCAAACATAGGTTTACAGTTGTGAGTGTGCACCTAAATTTCTATTTGCTTGCTTGCTTGTGCTAAAAACTGGCACTACACAGCTTGGTTTATTGACATGGTTTCCAGAGAATTAACCAATAGGACATGGAAACACAAAGCCATCTTTTTATAGTTTTATATACTATAGATTCTTGCTGTTCATATGAAATGCTTTTAAAATACTACAAAAAAAGTATGTAATCTTCATATATTAATACCTATTTCATAGGCTAAGTCAGACTGTATTAACATTTTCAAGGCTCACAAATACACCAATACTTAGCACTTCTTTCTTGGATTCTACTAAAAGGACCTAGATCTTTAGTCTTTCCACAATTATGTATTTGTCTTCAAGTTTGATAGGTAAAAAATCATCTTGCTCAGAAAATTTAGGTTATGTGGTCGAGTTATGCTGCCTGCCTGTGCCTTTAGAGTTGACTCAGTGCATTCCAAGATTAGTCACACTAGGAATGGAGCTCAACTGTCATTATCCATAAGATGTGGTGGTGGGGTTGTACCATGGATTTTGGCATTTCGTGGGAAAACTAAGTTGGATTAGAAGAGTTTACTTAAGAGTTCTAGGCAGTCAACACAGAATCCATCTGTTTTAACTATTCAATTTAGCTTTCATTTACAAGCTGTTTTTACTCTTCCCAAGTCTTGGGGATAGAGCAATGGACAAAGGATTATGGAGAAAAATAAGATGGTTAGTATTTTAAATAAATTGGTCAGGGAAGGTAGTATTTAATAGGATGTTTGAGCCCTGGCCAGTTTGGCTCAGTGGTACAGTGTCGGCCCGTGATCCAGAGAGACCTGGGTTCAGTTTCCGCTAAGGGCACGTACCTCAGTTGCAGTTTGTCCCTGGCCCTGGTTGGGTAGTGCAGGTGGCAACCATTTGATGTATCCCTTTCTTGTCGATGTTTCTCTCCCCCTCCCCCTCCCCCTCTATCTGAACAACAACAACAACAAAAGACATTTGAGCCCTGGCCGGTTTGGCTCAGCGGTTAGAGCATCCGCCTGTGGTCCAGAGAGACCCGGGTTCGGTTCCCGCAAAGGGCATGTACCTCGGTTGCAGTTTGTCCCCGGCCCTGGTTGGTCGTGCGGGTGGCAGCCACTCGATGTGTCCCTTTCACATCGATGTTTCCCCCTCTCTCTCTTCCTCTCTCTCCCTCCCACTCTATCTGTGCAAAAAATGGAAAAACGTCCTTGGGTGAGGATTAAAAAAAAAGACATTTGAGTAGAGTCTGAAAGGTGAAAGCTATACATTTGGGGAAGGAATATTCTAGGGAGGAGTAGGAGGTTCTTTGTTTGAATCTAAGGTACATCAATGTGAGTGAAAAAGTGTGTACAATCAGGTGGTAAGTGGAGCTATATCAGTTTATTTTATAGAGAAGGAAAATTTCTGCTTTTTTTTTTTTTTTTTTTT